GAGACACTACCGTGTCTCTAAATCTCTAGCCCAGCTTATCTGAAATCAAAATCCAAGTAGATTGCGTTAGTATATTATAATATGAAGGGCTTGGACAAAGGATTTTTCATTTTGGTCAAAACTTTTTCTTTTATTGCAAAAAAACCAAAATTCGTTTACCGTGAAAAAGTGACTTTTTTGTAAAATTATTATCATTTGTTTAAAAATCAATATTTAATCAAATCCTTCGTCCAAGCCCTTCGTAGTACCATATACTAACGCAATCTACTTGGATTTTGATTTCAGATAAGCGGGGCTGGAAATATTGTGTACACCGCAACTGATGCTGAAAAAAAAGCGTTCTGGAAGATCGGCGTCATTTTTCATTATTTTTGAATAAAAAAATTTGTGAAAGTATATTAAAACATGCACTTAAGATACCGTTTTATTAATTTCGATAAATATTCATTAAACCTGCAAAAAAATTTTTTAAAATCACTTAATTTTCGCGAACCCAACTATAGGCGTAACTCCTTAAGTTATGCTTGTTGTAAGAGTGTACGCATTGGGGAAGCGGGATTATCTCTGGTGAAAAAAGCAAGTGCAACACTTACGACAGTTCAAATAAAAATTAATATTAAAATTAATTTAATATTAAAAATTTGCTATTAATAATCAACTTAATTGATACATACAATAACAATCGATTACCATAATTGTACGTGATATAATGCTTGCACAAAGCAGATTAGGACATGAATTTAATTGCTGACTCATGGTCAACGAAATTAAATGTTTAGGAATGTTTTCTTTTTTAAAATTGACCAATAACTTGCAATTTTGAACTCGAGAAAATTAGAAAAAAATCACAATGCTTAGGTAGGGTATATAGGCTATTTTATTACCGTACAATCATATCCAATTGTATAAAATATATATTACTTATTACTTCGAATTTTCTTTCAATTTTTCTTATGTATATTCTATATACGTTAATACAACCTAAAATAATTTGATTTGTATCTTAATTAATTTCTATATCATTATCGCATTGGTATTATAGAATAATATTATACATGTCATTATAAATAACATCATTTATTTTGTTTATATACGTTGAATTAGATACTATCTATTATATACATAATAAAACAAGTATATTTATATACCTATGTCTAATATGTACCGTTCTTTCTGATACGTTATCAGTGATACATTAATATAATGTTGATGAAAATAATATAATATAAAGATCACAATTTATTAATGTTTCACGAAAATAATTTTTGATTTTTCAAATCAAAAGATTTGTCATTATCATAACAATTCTGCGGTGCTCGTTTATAAAAAAAGTCATGTATCTCAATATTCTTTGTCTATTACTATTAAATTTTTTTTTATTTGCTATAGATATTAATATCTAATATTTTTACTTATTATTCAGATTTCTATTTCTTTTCCATTTTTAATTTCTATCGCTAAAGATGAAGCATGCGTACATTAAAGATCCAATAAACCCCATTCATCATACAGTGGCAGTCTTTTTATCATTAACTTTCTATAAATCTCGCTTTTGAAACCTGGATTTATACCACTGCTCAATAATTCATCCAAATCTTTCGCCTCAGTCTTACAGCACAGCATAAACGGTAAAATGATGAAGAATATTATCATTCCATAGTTAGCTTTTCGTTTTATGGTAGCTTTCAGTTCCTCCATTGTAGGCGGGTGCGTCTTGCAATTCAATTGCTTCAAAGTCGCCGACAAGGTTCTAAGATATTCGTTCAATAGAATATTTTTCTTGTTTTCCATGACATCCAAGGAAGGACTTGTATTGAGAAAAAATAATAAATCGAGTACCGGCGTTGCGTAAACGCACACTTGGAAGTCTATCTGTAATTAAATGAATCTTTTCGATCGGTCCATTTTTTGAGCTCTTGGATTAATAATAGATTGGAAATGAAATCTATTCATTCCGAAAGTGAAATGTCGTGTTTAGTAATGTCATATTTAGAAATTTCAGCAACAAGGTTCACAGTATAGTTTGCGCGGACGACGTGGACAGAAAAGTGACGAGTACAGATGCGATTAAACGTTGAGGTTATTGCATTATTCATATAAATTGCATTTTCAAGTATCTTCTATTATCACACCACTCGTTTGTTTTAATCGTTAAAGCCGACATTGTGTATAATTGAAAAATGCGTTATTACGAGTGTTTCTCTTTTGAAATCTACTAGCACATTCCCTGCGCACGCTCCGCGCGCGCTGCTCCATTATACTCTCCTTTTTAGACTTTATGAAATATATTGTTACGAATTTATATTCTAAATGTTTGCATTAGAAAACTGACCTCATCGTTATGGCGGATTGAAAATTTGAAATTTCAAAGTGGTTGAATCACTATGGCGAATGGAAATCTTTAGTTAATTACCATAAACAATTTTATAATCCTTTTTTTTCGAACGCTAATCTAATCTCGGTACATGTTGCTTCCTTTTTTTTGTTTTACATTTGTAGAAAACGCTTTTAATAAATATCATTTTGGTTATAATAAATATTATAAAAGTAATGATTTTGATTTACGAATTTATTATTAAATTACTATTTGATTAAATTACTATATTGAATTAAAAATTCAAAATGGCGAAACCAATATGGCGGACGGAAATGCTAAGTTTCTTGATTTCGGCGAAATGAAGTATTAGAAGGTTTTCGGGGTTGTTAATGTCCGAAACCGAATTTAAAATTTGAAAATTCAAAATGGCTGAACCAATTGTAGAATTACCGTTCGCCAAAATAGTTAAATATTTTAAATTTTAAAATTTTAGATTAAGAATAGAAAATGGAAAGATTGTTCGAAATTAGTGTCATTGAAGACTCTTTAACCGGTTAAGTGGTATTGTAGCATATATGCACAAAAAGAATCCGTGCCAAAAGTGGTATTGTAGCATATATGCACATCTTGAATAACTTCTATATTATTCAACGAATTTGCTTGAAATTTGGTATACTATTGTTTTTTGGGCTTCTGAACTCGATTTTGGCGTCAAATTTGTAAAATTTGATGGCGAACACAACATGGCGACTAATACGTTGAATGAAAATGGCGATTTTTGTATATATATTGCAATTACGTTTTACCCCCGCAGTTAGCTGGTGAACATGTCACGACCCCCAGGGCCAAATTTTGGTATATTTTAGTTCACAATTGACGCCTACCACTTTTGGCACGGAATGTTTTAAAAAGCCTACCACTTAACCGGTTAATAGAACATTTCATTAAAATCGAGGAATTTTAAAGATTTCCGACCGCCATATTGGTTCAGCCATTTTGAATCCAGAATAAAAATCGAATTTTAGAAAGCAGGATAAATCTTAACAAAAGGGAACCAAGCTCCGATAACTTTAACTTTAAGATATATTGTCTAGAATTTTTAAATTTAAAATTCGGATTCGATATCAACGAAAGCGAAAATCATCCAATACTACATTTCGCTGGAATATACCCTGAAAACCCTTTAATACTTCAATTCGCTACAATCGAAGAATTTTTAGCATTTCCGTCCACCATATTGGTTCAGCCATTTTGAATTTTCAAATTCTAAATTCGGATTCGGCATTAACAACCCCGAAAACCTTCTAATACTTCATTTCACTGAAATCGAGAAACTTAGCATTTCCGTCCGCCATATTGGTTCCGCCATTTTGAATTTTTAAATTTTAAATTCGTATTCGATATCACCGAAAGCGAAAACCCTCCAATACTACATTTCGCTGCAATCGAAGAATTTTTAGCATTCCCATCCGCCATATTGGTTCAGCCATTTTGAATTTTCAAATTTTAAGTTCGGTTTCGACATCAGCGACCCCGAAAACCTTTCAATACTACATTTCGCGGAAATCGGAAGACTTTTAGCATTTTCGTAAAACTTCAAACCGCCATATTGGATCAGCCATTTAGAATTTTCAAATTTTGAGACCGGATTCGAAATCGGCGACCCCCAAAACCTTTGGATACAACATTTCAACGGAAAGGAAGTACTCTGAGAGCCTCAACGAAAAGAGGCTTCAAGGCACGTAGCATTTCCGTTCGCCAAATTGGTTCAGCCATTTTGAATTTTCAAAATTTAAGATCGGTTTCGGCTTCAGCGACCCCGAAAACCTTTTAATACTACATTTCGCAAAAATCGGAAGACTTTTAGCATTTTCGGTAAAACTTCAATCCGCCATATTGATTCAACCATTTTGAATTTCCAAATTTTGAGACCGAATTCGAAATCGGCGACCCCCAAAACCTTTAGATACGACAAACTAATACTCAAACTAATATTCTAACAGCCTCAACGAAAAGAGGCTTCAGGGCACGTAACACGTCAATTTTAAGATAGGATTTATTTAATTTATTTCGTTTATTTTTACTTAAATTTGTTATTATTGCACACAACTATAAAAATTGTCATAAAAATTTAGAAATGATTTATGAAATGAAGTGACTAAGCTTTGTTACATGTAAATGTATTTATGATAAAATTTCCATTTTCAAATTTAATAAAATATTTTTAACGTAAATATGATGATACTTACAAAAATATGATCAATAGGTTTACCATTATTGTCATATCTGAACAACATATTGTTCACGTGAAAATCACCGTGAGTAATAACATTAAATTCCTCCTTACATAGCTTGGTTGCGTCTATTCCTATTTGATATATGTGATCGGAGAGTTTAGCAATTTTTTCCGAGTATCTAGCAATACAAATGAAATAAATATAAAATTGTATAAAATCATTTATAAATATCCGCTATTAGCAGCATAGTATGTATTTGTATTTGCCATTTTCTGTTTAATGTTCCGTTTTTTCTCATTAAACATTTATATTGTGTCATATAAAATATTATCATGAACATTAAACAATAGAAGAATAAATACTGTCGTTTAAACAATTCTTACTGTTTTACTTCAGACCAGTGTGCAATCTCGTCTGCTAAACCTTTAGTACACTTAATAAAAATATCTTTCATTTCTGATGATTGCTGCTTGTTAAATGTTCCTTTCAAATACATTTCTTTTTGCTTTGGTTCCTAAATATTAAAATATATGTTATTAAAGAACATTTTAATGTATTTATACATTTGATTCTAAAGTGTTAAATGATGCGGACTGAAAATTTGGAATGTTATATAGACCAAAATATACAAAAAAGTCTACACTATAATTTTGATATCATGCAATTTTCTGACAAATCAAATTTTTTTTTTAGAAAGAATTATGAAGTAGCCCAAACAACACGCATGTCGAAAAGACATTTTGAAAGAGAGTAGTTTTTGTATCTATGCCATGATCTTAATTAAGTATTAATGCTACGAGGGTATAAATGTTACGACGGATTGTGAGCATCGCTTGCATGGTGATTTACCTTCTCACATAGGGCTACGGAAGCTGCATGAAACCTGGCAAGTCCGTGAAGTGCCAGTATGGAATGATCTATGTCAAGACCAGACAAACGATCGGCCATTCGAAACCCGAGAGCCGCGAGATCTTCGATCGCCAGAAGCATTGGATCTTCATTTTGCACGTAAAGAGTCTTCCCACTCAAGCGATACTTTGGCTCTAACAACTTATTCATTTTATTCAAAGTATTTGACATCATCGACATTTCGGTGTAAAAGAGACCTGATTTTATAACCTGTAACAAATTTATTCAAGATTAATAAATGGAATCTTTTAATCTAACAAACATAAAATTATTTTTTATCTAAAAGCCTGTATAAAATTTGTATACTAGAAAGTTTCAAATATAAAATTTGTTTTTAAACAAATAAAAAATGTTTTCCTTAAATACATGCATATGTATTCGCTTTCTTAAAAATGATTTATAAAAATAATTTAATTTTAATTACTGATCACCCAAGAATAATTGTTCTAATCTTTCTTTTGAATAGAAATGTACTTCGAAACAATAAAACTTGCCACAGATTTATCTCTCTTTCTCTCTCTCTCTCTCTCTTTTTCTTTCTGCTTCTCTTTTTGTTTCTTTTTCTTTGGTTAGAAATATTGTACACAGTAAATTAACTTACAAATTTTTGTCGAACACTTCCATGTTCAGGCAAGATTTTAAGAATAATTGACTTTTTCTCTTTAATTCTACAACTGCCTTGGTCGCGTGAATATTCGACAGTAATCCTGATCATGTCGCTGGTGTAATTGTCACCCTTACTCGTGGCTGGTTTCGAAAACATATCGATCATCTGAATCGAGTTATCATCTTCCGATTTTCGCAGAATCTTCTCCACGAAGCATAGGTTCAGCCATGTCGACGTCTCTTGGGCCATTTCTGAAAGTGGAATTGAAATTGGAGAATTTTATCGACAAATCATTCCCATCATACTAAAAATACTATTTTTTATAATAATTTACTCGCGATGAAATTTACTATTATATATTTTTTCCTCTCTTTCCAGCCAGTTTCCTTCACAAATTTATTCTGGTCTTTCTATTCTTTCCTTCACCTTTCTTCTCATAACGTTTTTTTTTATTTGTTTTATTGGCATATCTTTATTTATGTCCGTCCATATTTAAAACGACTGTATTTTATTGCATTTGAGATCGCTGTTTGAATTGAGAGCGTAAACCGATTTTTCTTTTCTCCTTTTAATACAGCATACGTGCATGCCGTTAATATCTGCATTGAGACCTCGTCGTATGTGATATTTGAGATATATATGAAAAATTTTAGATACGTCTGGTGCGTTGCGATCGTGTATTGGGGATTCCAATTAATTTTTTGTTTTTTAAAATAAATCTTGAAATTAATGTTCGATTTATTATTTATTGTTTATTGGTTTATCATTTGGACCAATATACTCCGCTGGTGACAAAATGTGATGTGCTCCTATCCGATGTATAAAATTATACTATATACTAGTTCATAATACTAGTTTATATTTTATATCCCTCCTCCTATTCCATGATCGCAATCTTTCTTTTCTTCTCATGTTTTTGTAAATTACAAATATAAAAGATGTAATTAGGATTATTACTTACAGGGAATTATTGACCCCGAGATTGGCCCTGTAATTAGTGCGTTAATTATTCATTACAAAAAACTATATTTAACCGATCTTTTGAAAATTAATATTTGATATTTAGTCAAATACTAGTTTTTGAAACCTCTATTAAATAGTTTTTTGTAATGAATAATCAGCTCACTAATTAAATAATAAAAAACGATTTAGTAAAATCATGTAAGAAATCATGCACGTTTTGGCTACTTTCTAGTCTTTTCATGAGCGCAGTAAAAATGTAGAGCCAAATCGTCGTCAGTTAACTTATTATGTTGTGTAATCCGTCTACGCAATCTTCTGTTTTCATGTTATTCACTCCAAAAACGAGACGGGAAATTTCTATCTTATAATCAATTAGAAGGCTGGGTGGTCTCATGTAAGTTGAGTCTTTGAAATTAAGTCCATCGTGTAAAAGATAATTGATCAGGATAAATTAAGCATATATAAACCATGACCTCAGAAAGACAAATGGATGTACTCGATAAAAAATATATTAAAAGAATTTGTACGGTCCCCATCTATTTAAAATAAAGGGCATTATATGATAAAAACAGATCTGAGATTACATGACCGTTACATGTCACAAAATAAACTATAAATCATCGTTGTGATCAGAAAGATTAGATTAAAAAAAATATCATCAGAAAACATAAATAATTAGTGAATATCTAAGTAACAATAATATACTATGGATTAAGTAATTCCATGTATGAATTCAAATTAATGTCGTTCTTTTACCGTTTACTATCAATTATTTCTGAAATCAATCGTTTCTTGCACGGAGAGAATTCTTAGAATTTACCCTGAAAATATGACAGTCGTGGGATAACATTGTATTTCGAAGAATTTTAATGTAAATCTCTCTCATTCATTAATAAAACTACAATAAAGTATATAATAAGTTTGATCAATTTTACTGAAGTGCATGGTAAAAATCTTTAAAATATTGTATTGTACCACAACTACCATATTTTCAGAGTAAATTTTAAAAGAAAATTCTCTCCGTGTGTAATTTTGTTCAACATCTAAAATTTCAACATGATCCCCTTTAAAATCATGACCATAATACAACCTGTGATAATTCAATAACAACAGAATGAATAGCTGTATTTCTCCTGATGTCAATTCTGATGTGTATTCAGAAATTCTGGTCTTCAACTGCGTCTACTAGTTTGTCCGACATACAATGACTGCGTTCAGGGTGATGCTATTAGAGCTATTTGTGACATTTTATCTTCATCGTCCATTAGACACAAGGATGGTATGGTATAAATAGCGCTGATATAGCTGATATAGTTCTCGTAACATATCCATTGCGTCACAGTTTTTGCAGAATATTTTATAAACAACGTCTTTTAAGAATACGCAGACAAAGAATCTTTTCGTGCATGATGATCATAATTTTAAATGAGATGACGTTGAAACTTCAGATATTGAACTAAATTACAAGAAACGATTAATTTTAGAAATTACAAATATTTTGTTGTCGTGTAAGATCGTTTAAAAGAAAAGTTATTTATAGAACATTATTTATATGACTCTAAATTTGTCTATAAAACAAACGAGAATTTGCTAAGAACTTTCCAGTAAATATCAACTAAAGGAAATAACATGTAACTTCAATGTTATAAAATAAATCAACTAATTATATGTAAAAGAGACGTCAATTACGGTCGAAGTTAAATGTTGAAATAATATGTACATCTATAAGTAGATATTTTTAATAAATTTAAGTTAAGTATATGATGACCGTGCGCTGATTACTTTGGGACTTGCAACACAATCAAACTGAAATAATAATATTCTTTCCAAATTAAATTAGATCTTCGATTTAGTGCTACTAGCATTTTTAAATCTGTAAAGAACATTGCGAAAAATGTTATCTCAACCAGGATTTTATTTTTTTTAAATTTCATATTTTACAACGTAATGTAATATATTATAACTTATATAACTCACATAACAGTTACAGTTGTTGAACTGTGAAATTATAAAATTATTAACATTAATAATGTGTGTCATTTCTAATAAATGTTTAATGTGTTATATTCGTTCATAATGTTTGTGCGTTACGTATGCATAATAATGTTTGCAATTTAAACTCTTTTTCTTTCAAGAACGCTATTCCTGCCAGCGCTAAAATAGATTGACATTCAAACAACGAGCAAAGTCTAGAAGACATCTTTATGATACCTTTTAGACATTTATATCTCAAAAGACGTTTTAATGATGTGATTGTCTTTATGATATTTTTTAGACATGTATATTGTGTGTCTGGAATATTTTTTACTTCCTAAATTACAATTTACAATGAAAAGGAAGGGATTCGAAGACCTGCTATTCAACATACTGAAGAGAGAATCGAGAGTGATTCAGAAAGAGGAGTTTTATCGGACAATCGATTCGTTGTATAAGCGATGTATAAGCGTTGTTAGGAAGCGTACGGAAATTGTATTGATTGTGCTGACAGATACTAATAAATATTCTTGATCTTTTATATGTATTTTTTCATGTATTTGGCTTTAATCTGGGAACATAATTATAACAATACATAAAATTATATATTAAAGAAATCACTAAACTTTTTTTATTTATATGTGTTTCACACATACCTACAATCTAATAAAAACGTGATCAGGTAATTTATAGAAAAATTTAGCTAACAAAATTTTAAAATACAGAGATACTTTCTATTGGGTTGGAGAAAAAGTTCTGCGGTTTTTTAATAGATGACATTAGTGTCAGAAAATAGATATCATGTGTCATTCAAATGCAAATCTGCCGTATATTTTTTAACAAGTCACACTATGCTTGACATTTGGCAGAAGTGTTTGTTTTGGTCGGACGTGTTTTGAGTTTATGGCATACAAATAAAATGAAAGAGCAAAAATTACTATTATTTTCGCCATATTTTGCTGTTTTTATTCCGTAAAGGCCATAAAGCGGCGGACGCTAAATGCGAAATATGCATGTATGATGTCTCGGCCTTAAGCGCGGACTCCGGCGCGGACACATGCGAAAGATGGTTTGCCCGCTTCCGTTCCAGAAAATTTAACCTCCAAGATGCACCTCTGGACAGCCAAATACTGCTGACAATGACCAACTCCTGGCTGCAATGAAGAATGATCGACACTTAACGACTCGAGAGATTGAGGAGCACTTTGACATTCATCATACAACCGTTGCGGACCGATTGAAAAAGCTTGGCATGGTCACATGGTGAAAAAGACCGATCGTATATGGGCGCCGCACGAACTGACCAAAAAGAACATCATGAACCGGATTTTGGTGTGTGAGTCTCTCCTGAAACAAAACTCTCTAGACCCATTTCTGAAACGGATCATCACTGGAGACAAAAAATTGTCTACAACAATATCAAGCGGCAGAAGTCGTGGTGCGGTCCGAGTTTTCAAAAACGGTGGCGAAACCTGATTTGCATCCCCAGAAGGTGATGCTCAGCATTTGGTGGGACTACAAAGGAGTGCTATTCTTTGAATTGCTTCCACAGGGCCAAACGATAGATTCGACAAAGTATCGCGCCCAGCTCAACAAATTGCGCAAGGCAGTCGCGCAATTTGTTGCAGGAGAAGCGGCTAGAATTGTCGCATAAGAAGGGTATGGTTTTTCATCATGATAACGCCCGACCACACACTTCTTTCATCACGAAAAAAATTGCAGAGCTTTGACTGGGAAATGATGCAGCACCCACCATATTCGCCGGATCTAGTACCGTCCAATTATCACTTATTTCGCTCGCTGCAAAAACAGTCTTGACGGTCAACGATTCGACTCAATGGAGGCCGTCCGAAATTATCTTGCTGATGTTTTCGCCCACAAGTCCCAAAGGGACTTTTACGAGAGCAGCATCAAGGCCCTACTGAAGCATTGGCAATAAGTTATAGATCAAGATGGTCAATACATTGTTGATTGAATAAATTGTTATAAAAGATTTTTTGTTTAAATTTTATACTAAAAATCCGCAGAATTTTTCCTCCAACCCAATACTTGATTAAAGGTAAAATTCAATTACATTAATAATGTCCAGTTACCTGCAGCGTCGATAACTGACATCTCCATCATACTTTACACTAAGTTAATAGTGTATTCGTGCGGTAAGGATTTCCAAATTAATATTAAAAATTTGCAATTTAATAATCAACTTAATCAAATTTAATAATCAACTTAATCAATTACAATAATTGTACATAATGCTTGCACATAAGAAATCAGAATTAAACTGTTGGTCAGCGGAATAAGATGTTTAGAAACGTTTATTCTTGAAATTGACCACCAATTTGTAATTTTCAGTAACAAATTAACAAAAAATCACAATATAAAGTCCGGTTATTTCATTACTTATTACTTTGTAATTTTTTTCAATTTTTCTTATGCAAATTCTTATATGTTAATACAACCTAAAATACTTCATTATGTATTTAATTAATTTGTACATCACTTTTTACATTGGTATGGAATGATATTATACATCTCTTTCAATAGTATTTTTTTGTTAACACATGTCAAACACTAGACAGTATCTTACCGTTATCACTGATATATTCATATCATATAAAAATCTGCGCAAAATTTATTTTAAAACCTTATAAGTCAAAAATGAAACCACTATTATCAAACAATAAATAATTTTTATTTTCTGAACTAAAAGATACGTCGATCTTTATAACCATTCCTCATTTGTACGTTTTAAAGAAGCTTTTTTTAAAACAGTACATTAACATAATTGTTCGTCTATTATTAATTTTAATGTATTTGTTATAACTATTTGCATCTAATATCTTTATTTCGTAGATTACTATTTCCTTTTTATTTTAATTTTCTACCACCAAATAGAAGTATACATTAGAGATCCAATAAACCCCACTCGTCATACAGTGGCAGTCTTCTTATCAATATTTTTTTATAACTCTCACTCTTTAAACCTGGATTTATATAAGTACCAGTGCCCAACATTTCATCCAAATCTTTCGCCTCAGTTTTACAGCATAACATAAACTGTAAAGCGGTAATGGATGTTATCATTCCATAGCCAGCTTTTCGTTTTAGAGTAGCCTTTAATTCCTTCATGGTGAGCGGCTGCGTCTTGCAGTTCAACTGCTTCATAGTCGTTGACAAGGTGTCAAGATATTCATTTAATAGAATATCTCTCTTGTTTTCAATGACATCGAAGGAAATACTTGAATTGAGAAAATAGAGAAGATCGATTGCCGGCGATGCGTAGACGCATAATTGGAAGTCTACCTACAATAAAATAAATTTTTTTGATCGTCAATTTTTTATGTCTATGGCAATTGTGTTGGAGATAAAACTTGTATATCAGGAAAGAAGTGAGATATCATGTTTAAGAAGTCGCGATGACGAAGTTGATAGTTTACATAGATAACATCGGCAAACGAATAAGCCTGCGCAATTAAACTGAATAGATACACATTGCATTTATTCAAAATACATTCCATTTTCAAATATCTCGTATATTATCACTGTCTGTTTATCTTGATTGCTTAAGGTGAAATTGCGGATGATTAAATTGCATTAAAATGTACTTACCGTAATAGCGTTTTTCGAAACATTATTTATTTAATTTATCGTTATACAAGTTTATATCTCTCTCTTCGCACTTAATTATGAAAATTATAATAAAAATTCAGAAATGTAGATAATTGGAATGTAGTGACAGGCTATGTTAAACTGTTTATAATAAAATTCACATTTGTCTAATTGTAAGTATAAGATATATTTTTAAAGTAAATTTAAAATTTCAGCAATATAAGTTGTATCACATGAAAGTATAAACTAAAAATTTCACGAATTGGTTTATTTAATATTAGTTCTTAGTCGCAAAATAAAGTCGTGATTATAATAAATCAATGAGCATGTTTAGAGAAAGTACACGATTTTTTATGACTTGATGGTACTTACAAAAATCTGATCAGTAGGCTTGCCATTGTTGTCGTATTTAAACAACATATTGCTCACGTGACTATCACCATGATTAATAACATTAAATTCGTCCTCACAGACCTTGAATATATTCAATCCTACTTGATATATATGATCGGAGAGTTTAGCAATTTTTTTCGAGTATCTGATAATAAAAATCAAATAAATTTGAAACCATATGAAAGTATGTAAAAATAATATAAATATTTGCTTTAAACAATGCAATTTGTACTTA